TTCCCATGCCAGCCCATCAGGGAACCTTCTTCCCTAGAAATATTCTTACAGCCAGGGCTGTTTCCTCCCTTACTTCAATGCCAGTTTCACTCCCAGGTTACAGTCCCCAACAAAAGGCTATCCCAGTTTGAATTTCTTAATCAAGTCACATTGACCCTGAGTACCTGGCATTTACCTATGAGCACTCATAGAAACAGAACAGGGCCTGGCAGTGGCTGTGGGCCAGGTTCCTCGGTGAGGGGACTTGCTGGGCCCTTCAGGTTCTGTAGTCTGGCCCGAGCTTAGCTCCCAGCACGGCGTCTTCCCATCTACATGATATCGGGCCAGGCTTCAACAGTTCAGAGCTTCATTTTATCACCTTCAGACAGAATAATTCCCTGCTGCATATTTTAAGACTGCTATGTACCACAAAGGGTGCTTAGGGAATTCAGTGAGTCAATGCATGGAAGTCACACAACCTTGTCCTCAGGGAATGTTAGTTATCTTCATTATACACCATCGATAAAATTGGCTGCACAATGTTGGCCAGGTATCAAAGCTACAGGAACAACAATTTGACAATGTGTCACTGTCTGGATCATAGTCACAATTTTACACAGTAAAACAAGCTACCTGGTACCACCCAGCTGTCAGACCACCCGACTCCCCACCCCAAGAACCCTCAATTTATCTGATTTGCTTCCTACCCCTACTTTTTGGAGAAAGTTGGCAAATCACATACAGTCAATGACTGCTAGGTTATGTCCATTCTCATTCACTCAAATTGCCCCATTTTCAGTATCCACTGTGCTGCAAAACATAGACTTATATTCAGAATATGACAGCAAGGCCTTTACCGTTCCACAGTCAGAGAAGTATGAATCTGTCATGTTTAATATGCCATATGACACTAAGCAAGGCAGGAAAACAGGCTTCTGTACTTTAAGGAAATTTTTAGCAATGATGTCTGAAACTAAAATTGTTTTTCTTTGATCTTCAGCTAACCAGAAAGTTCAATTGACTTCTATTACCCATTACACAGGTGTCGTGGTTTGATTGTATTAGGCACTTTTTCCTCATCTCCATAGCATGACTTTGCTCCATCAGCACAGATGGAGTGTCTCCAAGGCTGCTCCGTGTGCATGGGCGTGTGTATGCACACATGTGCACCCACTGATTGGTGCCACTGATTCATACCCAGGAGTTGTTCTGTCTTATAACTCAAGCATTGCATTATTATATCCTAGAAAACTGATTTTAGGTCATTGATTGAACTATAGACCATCCTCTTACCCACATTAGGAAGTGACGTCTTCCAAGACACAGGTCCTGTGTGATTGCATATATGTATAAGTATGAATTAAATATGCATGTCATCCCCTCACATATTTAATTTGTGCCTTCCCAATTTAATGTGAACAGTAAGGGCTAACTTCCCATAACAGGAGAACTTTTAGGAAGAAAGAAGAAGGAATTAGCCACCAGGAAGAAGACAGGATATCAAGCAGGAGTTTGTTATAAAATAATTTATTCTAAAGCTGCTCTGGTTCAATAAATAAGTGGAATTGACATTGTTGTATCCTGCCAGAGCATCTGTTATTGAAGACCAATTTTAATTTACTTTGATATAAGTGGAAAATTGTGTCAGAACAGCATGGGAAATGAATCACACTACATCTGTCTGTACTCCTGAAGTGTGTCTCAGAGCTGCTTATTTTTGAGGAAAATGATCTTGTCTGGAGACAATAGAATTATTTTCATTGTTGGAATTTTTGTAGCTTCAAGAAGCACATCTGCAGGTGATTCTGTAAAAGTTTAGAGTTGACTTAAATAGCAGGAAATTTTAGCCTATTGAAATCAGGAGTAGTGAAATATTTTTGCCTGCCACACCACCACCACCACCACCACCAGGCAAGCACGTATACACCCAGAGAGATTTCACATCAGAGGGAATGACAAAGCCGGTTCTGTTACCAAGGCCAAACTTGTTCTGCTCTCTGCACAACAGTGATAAATAAATAAATCAGGAGACAAGGTTTTGGGGCAAGAAATAGTAACTTTATTCAGAAAGCTGGCAGACCAAGAAGATGGGGGACTAATGTCCTGGAGAATCATCTTGCCCAAGTCAGAAATCAGGCTCCTTTTAAACTAAAAAGGGGAGGGGGTGTGGTTGGCTGTGCAAACTTCTTGCTGCAGGCATTCTTTGTTCTTGCAGCCATCCATGGGGGTCAGGCTATGGTGTCCCTGTAAACCTCAAACAAAACAAATGTTACTCTCTATTTTGCAACTTGCCATCTCTGCATAAGTGCAGAATTGCTAACATCCTTAAAGGTCAGATCCCCTAGAATAGGCTTTCCTGTAGGTTTTAGGCTAAAGGCAACGTTGTTTTACAAAAGGTGCAGAGCCAGCAAGATTAAGCCTGGAAAACAGTGCGCAGTGCTTCAAACAGAAGGAACAGATCCAATATGGCGTCAGATTTGTTCTCCATTACAGTTCTAGTGAGGGAAAATTTTGCAGTAGAAAATCCCCCCAGTTGTTTCTCTTGCTTTGCCTGAGGTCTTGTTTGTTGGCTTGTGGTCTCATGGTGTCAAAACCGTATGTTCAGATGAAGACTATTAAAATCATATGGTGCAGAAAACATATCTGTTCTGTTTCAAAAAATGACTGAAACATTTAGCTTTCTTTATTCCCATAGAATTTGGATTGAATCTATTCTGGACTTTCTTCTTCCTTCAAACCATTATTTTACTGGAGGGTTTAAAGCCCAAATTAAAGAATTTTGGAGAATACTCATGTAATTCATAAGAGCTTTATATCCGAATTTAAGACTGACCCATATTTATACCTTAATCAAGGAACACAATAAACTTTGTTAGTTGATCATTTATGACATTTTTAACTTTGCCCATGTAATCTTTTGGAAGTTAAGAGGCTTAGACAATTGATCTAACAAAACGTATCATTGCTTGACTCTGTGAATGAAAGAGTCCCAGTATAGTTTCCTGCAAGTATATTTTATTAAAAATAATAAAGGATTCTTGCTCTCTAATAAAGCAACAGACAGAAGCACATACTGAGTGTTTAAAATAAATTAGACTATGGGTTAGCTTATCTAAGCAAATCAAGATAGTATAGGGAAAAAAGTATGAACTTGAAGGAAAATACATATTGTGCAATTAATAACATATTTTTAACAAGCAAATGATAAAAAACCCAATTTTTTAATCATTTATCCACAAAGGAGTTATATAAAGCCAACTTATTTTCATAAGTGTTACATAAACAAAATGGCTATCTAAATCTACATTATTAAAGATTAAATTATACCAAATAGATCTCCAAGGTTGATTGATTTTCATGATATTTATAATTTTTGAAAAATATAACTTACATATAACATATCCAAGCAGCTCTTCAGTTATTCACAGTACCCTAGTCTACACTTATTCTTACTGTACCTAAAAAATGTAATAGGGAAGTTACAGGCCCTTGCTTTTGAACTGCCACTGGAATTCTGGGCATTCCCTTAGGTTAAAGACCAAAAGCAAAGTAATTATTCTACTTTAAAGCAGTTGCTCAAAGACTTTAAGACTTTCATTATATATATCCAGTTACAGGAAACAATTAAGATTTCTGAACTTTTAAAAACAGAAATCTACTACTGAAAATGAAATTCTGTCACGTCTGCTGACCATAACTGTAAAGTCTCTAAATTAATGTTCCCTTTACTGTTTTCCTACCAGCATAGGCCATGATCACCGCTTACACAGTCTCTTTAAGCTAGATGAAAGGACGCCTCTACACATGCTTAATTCTGAGAGATGAATGTGTGTGAAAGCCGTCAATCACCTAGCTTCTTGGGAACACAGTTTCTTTTCAGTGGAAAAATACACTACATACATATATATGTGGAGATACTAGCTCCAAACGGTTTCACAGAGAAAACTGCATGAGTTTCATACCCGCACTAGGAAACATACCGAGAAATCACAGTAAGTCTTTCCACTGCTAACCATACACTGTATGCCAGATGAATGAACACCTCTGAATATTCCTAGTTTGGAAAATTGAATGTGTGTGATAGCCGTCAATCACATAGCTTGTCGGGAAAAAACAGTTTCTTTTAGGTGGAGAAATACACAGCATAAATACATATGTGGTGGTACTAACT